CCACAGAGCTGCCTATGCAGTGCCACTTTCCTTTATTTTGAGATGGAGTCTTGCTAAACTGCTAAGGCTGACCTCCAATTTATAATCCCCTTGCCAGGTGTGGTGGTGCTTGCCTATAACCCCCAAAACTTGGGAGTTTGAGGCAGGAGGATCTGAAGTTTGAGGCTGGCCTTGGAAACTTAGTAAGATCCTGTCTTAAAATAAATAAAAAGGGAGGGGCGTAGTGGCTCATGCCTGTAACCTCTTTGGCTCAGGAAACTGAGAAAGGAGGATCTTGAGTTCAAAGGCAGCCTCAGCAAAAATTGAGGTGAAAAACAACTCAGTGAGACCCTGTCTCTAAATAAAATACAAAATAGGGTGGCTGGGGCTGTAGCTCAGCGGTAGAATGCTTGCCTCACAGGTGTGAGGCCCTGGGTTCAATCCTCAGCACCGCATAAAAATAAATAAACAAATAAATAAAGGTATTTTGTCCATCTACAACTAAAAAAATATTTTAAAAAAATACAAGATAGGGCTGGGGATGTGGCTCATTGGTAGAGTGCCCCTCAGTTCAGTCCCCGGGACCCAAAAATATAAATAAATAAATAGGGGCTGGGGCTATAGCTCAGTGGTAGAGCACCTGCCTTGTACATGTGAGGCACTGGGTTCAATCCTCAGCACCACATAAAAATAAATAAATAAATAAATATTAAAAATAAATAAATAAATAGGGCTGGGGCTGTAGCTCAGTGAGCACCAGTGATAAATGTCAAAACTGTCACAGGGTTCCTGGGACCTTTGCTGGGCAGGACAGTTCTGGAAAACAACTCCATTCCTGTCTTTGGCAGATTTGAGGGCCCAGAGGAGAAAGTCTGAAATAGAACTGGCTGCCCTTGACTCTCCACTGGCTCAAGGGAGCTGTTTGTCTAGCTCTGAATAACCCATTCTATCAAGAATATTCTGGGAATTTCCTTATGTGGCAGGACATTTGGGTGGGTGATTTCACTGGTTCCAGATGAGCTCTCCTTACCCTCCCTATCAGGAGAGATAAGAATGGGCACTATTCAGGCTTAAGGAAGGAACATTGGGAAGAAGAGGTGTGAAGATTTAAAGACATGAAGGCCAGACAGGGTGGCACTCACCTGTAATCCCGACTCAGGAGGCTGAGACAGGAGGATCACTAGTTTGAGGGCAGTCTTAGTGAAGCCTTAAGCAACTTAATGAGACCCTCTTTCAAAATAAAAAATGAAAAGGACTTAGGATGTGACTCATTAGTAAAGCACCCCTGAATTCAATCCCTAATACTAAAACAAACAAAAAACATGGAAGGATAACACAGAGAAGGTGGGATGCAGTTAATCAGTTAATCTCCATTTCTTCTGGGGCTTGAACAACAGGGCAGGGACTTCCACATAGCTCCAAGGATTCACCTTAGATAGTGCTGAGAGATACTGGAATAAATTATAACAGGTTAGAGGAAACAAGCTGTGAAATTCATCATTTTTAATTTTTGTAGTGCTGGAGATCCAACTCAGGGCCTCACACATGCTAGGCGAGGCAAGCACTCTACCACCAGCTACATTCCCAGACCTACAGATATATGTTGTTTTGTTTTGTTTTTGTGTTACTGGAGATGGAACCCGGGGTGTTCTACCACTGAGCTATACCCCCAGGCCCTTCTTATTTTTCATTTTGAGACAGAGCCTCACTAAGTTGTCCAGGCTGGCCTTGGATTTGTGATCCTCAGTCTCCTGAGTAAGGAGATTACAGGCACAGGTCAATTTGCCTGGCTAAACATATATTTTTGTTTTGGTTTTGTGGTGCTGGGGATTAAACCCAGGGTCTTGCAAGCACTTGTGAAATCTATTTAAGACAGTGTTTGTCCAATAAAAATATAATGGAAATATATATAAAGTTTTTTGAAATTAATAATTTTAAGTTGCAGAGGCTGGAGGTAAGGGTCAGCAGTACATGTTTAAGGCCCTGGGTTCTAACTAACCAGGGCCTTAAAAAATAAAGTAAAAATTTTTGATTGCTGCATTAAAAGCAAACAAGTGAAATTAATTTTACAATGTATTTTATTTAACCCAATAGATACAAAATATTACCCATATACAATAATGTAATCTACCTAAAAATAATGTTTAACATTGTTTTTAGTATTGATTTAAAAATCCAGTATGTATTTGATACTTAGATAACATCTCAGTTTCAAGTGCTCAATGACTGTATGGGATAGCACTAGTCTAGAATCATCAATAGGGGCAGTGACCCAGTGCATGCTTAGTATGCATGAGGCCCTGGGTTCCATCTCCAGCACTGAGCATGCGTACATACACACACACACACACACACACACAAAGTATAATCAGTAATAACTATTTGACACTCAATGGAAAATAAAAGTTATAGTCTGGTTTTATCCAAAGTTTTCTAGAAGAACTTCAAGCCTGAGGGCCTATGAGGCTGGTGCCTTTTCAGCCTTCATTGTCCCTCAAAACACCTGGATTCACAGCACTCACTGAGCTTGGAACACACTCAACAGCACTCCATGTTCACTGTTTTGCAGAGGGACCCCAGTCTCCTGCAGTTCTGACAGATCCAGCGGGAAGAGTGTATGGAAGGGCTGGGGATGTGGCTCAGCAGTAGAGCGATCGCCTTGCACGTACGTGACCTGGGTTCGATTCTCAGCACCACATAAAAATAAATAAGTGAAATAAAGGTATTGTGTCCAACTACAACTAAAAAATAAATATTAAAAAAAAAAAGGTGTAGAGGACAGTGAAGACAAGCATGGACAGGTAGCCGTGCTGTCTCACAGCACCAGGGAAGCTTTATACCCTAGCTAGTCAGTCTTCTTGCTGGTATAAGTGACTGGTCACAGGAGGGCCAGGCCAGACACAGAGGATGGTGAGGTACCCATCTGTCCCTGTGTTCAATGGGGGTGTGGGGACTAAGTACTCTCCCCGCCTGCAAGTTATGGTCTGTATAACTTGCACTCCTCTCTCTGTCTGGACTGTCCTTCCTCCAGGTAACTATGCAGCCTTCTCCAGCATTGTGTGTGTGTGTGTGTGTGTTTCTGGGGACCGAATACAGGGGTGCTTTACTGCTGACCTACATCCCTAGTCATTTTTTTTAAAATTATTATTTTTTAAAATTTTGAGACAGGGTCTCACTAAATTGTCCATTCTGGCCTTGAACATGTGATCCTCTTGCCTCAGCCTTCTGAATAGCCGGGATTACAGGCCACCACCACCACTATGCTGGCTCCATGATGGTCTTTGCATAATGTCGTCTCCTCTAAAGAGCCACTCCTATCACTGCTCCTCCATGGTTCTCTGTGCTCTCACCTTGCTTTTTCTTCAGCATGTACTACTACCTGACATTATCAATTTACTTGCTTGTTCTCTGGCTTCCTCATCAGAATGTAAATTTCATGACAGCCAAGACCTTACGCTGTGCCTTGCTCTGGCACAGAGTAGATAATAAATATTTTCTGAAAAGTCCTCCCTACCCGCAGTGATGGGAATGGAAGCCAGGGCCTCGTGCAGGCTGGGTTAGTGCTCTACCACTGAGCTAGACCCTCAACCCAGATATTTTTTTGGTGAATAAAAGGAAAACTTCATTCAAAGGAGAACAAATGCAGTGAAGGAGCTATATTTCACACTTTGAGTTTTTCCTCTCAGAATTTCTAAATTTAGATTCATTTGCTTCAAGATTTTTGTGAACCACAAGATGAGAGAAAGAAGACATTTTCCAAGTTTTTTTTTTTTTTTCTTTCAGAAAGAAAAACTTCCACTTCTATTCCTACTTATTCAGAATGGTTTAATTTTCCTGAGTAGTGTTCCTGGAAATTTCATCCCCAGTGTCTCATTATTAGAAATCAATGTATTAGTTATTCCTTGTTAATAATTGGTTTTCTGTTTTGCTTTATTTCTCTCTCTTTTTGGTACTGGGGTTTGAACCCAAGACCTTGTACATCACTTTTTTAAATACCTTTATTTTATTTTTTAATTTTTACATGTTGCTGAAGATGGAATCCAGCACCTCAAACATGCTAGGCGGGTGCTCTACCACTGAGCCATAACCCCAGCCCATGACTTTTAATTTTATTTAGAGACAGGCTCTTAATATTTTGCTAGGCTGACTCTGAACTTCTGGGTTCTAGCAATCCTCTTGTCTGAGTATGTTTTTTTTTTTTTTTTAAATTCTATAACTGTTAAGTCAAAAAATAATGAAAGGAAGAGACTAAGATGAGTTATTGGTAAAGACACAGACAACCCAGTTAAGGATACAGACTAGCTTTAGAATATTCCTTGGCATTCTTCACCAGCATATCACAGGGATTTCTTCAGCCCCTAAGAAGAAAGATCTCAAAGGCTTGCATGCTAGAATGTTCCTGTTCTCCTTACAATTTAGGGGGAAGGACAGAGACCACATCAGTGTAAAATCCAAACTCCCAAGTAAATTAGCTAAAGACTGACATCTGCTATGCTGAAAGGGAGAGGTCCAGCAAGGTAAGGCCCCTGGTGGTCAGGGGATGGAGTGGGAAAGGGCACTTTCATGCTTTCCCCCAACCCTGGCTGCAGAAAATTTCAGGAGGAAGCAGTAGCTGGGAGCGGATGGTCGGGGAGGGACGCAGAGCAGAGCCAGGTCTAGGCGCGCGTACAGACATGCCTGCCTGCCCCCACACGCAGAGCTCACAGGCTGCCGCCCCTACACAATGACACGCGCACCCTGGCAGTTTACAGCATCGTCACACACCCCTTCACCGCCCACTCAGACCAGGACCCCAGAATACACTGGATACTCTGCAGAACCTGCCAGCTGCAGGCCCTGCCAGCCCTCCCTCTCCTCTGGGGTTGGGTTTTTCCAGCCGGAGCCTCACTCCCTCTACCGCAATCTCTGGAAATTGGTGTCTGACGTGGCTGCTCCTGCCCATTATTTATTTATTTCTTCTTTTCTTCCTGCTGAGACCCTCCTGTCAGAAGGGGAGCTGCAATCCAGGCACGAAGATAGGCAGGAAGCTGCAGGGAGACACAGCTGCAGAGAGGACACAGGAAGGCCCCCTCCGAAGCCCCTGCCTGGCTCACCCAGAGGGGGGCCATGAGCTCCCAGCAGGAGGCCAGGAGAGATGAGGGAGACACCAGGAGGAAGGGACAGGAAGCAGAGCTGCGGGACCGAGCCCACCTGGGCCAGCAACGACGGCTCAAACAGGCCACTCAATTCCTCCACAAGGACTCCGCTGACCTGCTCCCCCTGGACAGCCTCAAGAGGCTCGGCACCTCCAAGGATTTGGTGAGGCGGCCCTCTCCCCACCCCATGGCCAAGGAAGTCCCTGTCCCATTCTCTCCACCTCCCCACATCCTGAGGAGGGTGGTTGGGAGGACCAGAAAGTGTAGATCCTCAACCTTCAGGTTCCCTCTCCCTTGCTGAGAAGGGGGAGAAAAGATCCGGCCACCTCGAGGGGCTTCACTCTGACCATTCCCAGGCTCTCTGCTGGGGCTGTTCCTGTGACTTGGCAGCCCTGTGGGGCCCACTGTCATTGCTCAGCTGCCCCTATCTTGCCACCCAATAGCCCAAGGCTTATCTTGGGGGGTGATGGGGAGCTATGCTGTTTAGGGGTAGAGGCTTAGGGGACCCAGGAATCCTGTGGAGCAGTCATTCAAGGCCAGGAAGCCTAGAGGACTTATCATTTTAGGGCTGTGACTTCCCTGTTCTCCCCCAAACAGACTTCTTCATACCTGCACATTCATTTACCTTTCCCCTTCAGAATTAAAACATCAAGGGCCTCCATACTTTTAGGGCATCAAGGTTTCATATGGCTTCTTGGTCCCCATGAGTGTCCTCTCCCTCACTTCTGAGTGAAATGGCCCTACCAGGTTCTCTCCCCCTCTAGTAACTTTGGCCCCCACAGGGAATGGAACAGGGGAGTTAATGATGAGGAGGTGAGGGAATCCTGGGCCAACTGCATATCCAGTCATCCTCTGAGAAGTGATGGTTAAGTGCATGGACTTTGGAGTCACCTTGCTTGTGATCAAATCCTGGCTTTGCCACTTACTAATTTGGACAAGTTATTTTATGTCTCTGTGCCTTAGTTTCTTCGCCTGTTAAATGAGAACATCAGGTAATCCAGTGACTCCAGAGGCTGAGGTAGGAGGATCATAAATTCGAGGCCAACCTGAGCAATTTATCAAGACCCTATCTCAAAAGAAAATGAAAAGGGATGGGAATGCAGTTCACGAATACACAGCACCCCTGGATTCAGTCCCCATTACTAGAAAAAAAAAATGAGAAATTTATTAGCACCTATCTCCTAGGGTGCTGTGAGTTATATGGGCCAATACATATTAAGCACTTAGGAGTGTGCCTCACTAGTAGCAGTAGAGAAATGTGATTATTATTCCTCTGGCTCTATTCCACTTAGCCTGAGAGATAAAGTAAGCCTGAGAGAGGGAGGGTCCAGAAGATATAGAACTATATTTTATTGAAGTAAAAACCTCTTCTTGGGAAGCTGGAAGCAAATGCAGCCCTCACTGCCTTTCCTGACCTAGCCCTACCTTTCCCTTATTCTCCCAGCTTGAATTTCCCCCTCCAGGGACACAGCCCAGAGGTCAGGCAATGCCCTAGCTCCATTGTAACAGCCCCCACTGAGGAAAAGTGATCAGATTAACTGAACTTTGAGTTCAGAGAACAGCCAGGGTTGGTCCCCCTTGCAAACACAGTGAGCACAGCTGAGAAAAGGGATGGAGTAGGGAAGCAGGTTCTTATCTCTTGAGGGCTAGGACTCTGCATCTATTGGGGACCATCCTACATCTATGCTATTCTAGAGTGGTGATTCCAGCTTCTGGGCTTCTCATTTCTGCCCTTTGCCTTGGTACCTCCTGAGTTGACCTCTAGCATTACCTCTTATGGCTTTGGGAGTGAAGATGCCATTGGTTGGGAGGTCCCACTGTCTCTCTCCCTGGGATAGCTCGGGATCAAACTGCACACAATGTGGGAGAGGCCTGGAGCCTGGAGCCATTGTGGGAAACGTGGAAGATGGGAACTGCTGAACTCCCCCCCCCTCCTTTTTATTTCAGCTGGTTCAGAACTCAGTGCACTTTTCCCAGAGCTGGCAGCTTGCTGCTGGGAGGCAACCTCTAGAGCCCCATGAGGCCAAGAGTATAAAAACAATCCCAGGCTCCCAAAGAGAGAGGGCAGGTGGAGGAGCATGTGGAGCCTGGGAGAGCAGTCATTCTTCAGCAAGCACTTACTGAGTACCTACTGGATGTCGAGTAAAGCCCTGGTATACAAACATGAGAAACAGACCTGACCTCAAAGGCTCTCCAGGGTAGTGGGGGAGTGAAATCCAGAAATAACATCTATGAGAAACATAACCAAGAGAGATACGAGCAGGGGGAGGAACAGGAAGAGTCCAGAGAGGGTACCCTGGAGGAGGTCGATCCTGCGCTAATTACAGAGTACACATGGAATCTCAGGTGCAAAATAAGAACCATTCTTCTGAATCCAGCATGTTGAGTCAGGCACCAGTTTGGCCTAGGGAAGAATGAGGAAGCGGGGTTTCAGGGAGAAGGAGTGAGCAGGAGTGAAGGTATGGAGGTGAAGTGGAAAATTCAGACAGCACCCAGGTCATCTGGATCATCACCTTGAATGGATACACAGCTCACCTGGGTTTTGCTAAAGTGAGGTTCTGGGATTGGGAGTGTGGTTCAGTGGTAGAGCATTTGCCTGGCATATGTGAGGTCCTGGGTTTGATCCCCAGCACTGCAAAAAGATAAAACCCCAAAAGCCAGCTTTGATTGACTAGGTCTGAGATTTCTGCATTTTAAGCAGGCTTCTATATGCTTTTTAAAGCCGCTGCTTTGGGGACGACACTTTGGGTGGCAGGGTTTTTGATAAGTCAGTCTGGAAGCCTAGAGCTGGTGTATTGGGAAGGCCACAGTGCCAGAGGCAGGTGCTTGTGAACTGAGGCCCAGTGACTTAGATGAGCTATGGGGAGGCTAAGGAAAGTAGTAACAGAAAGCAGTGCCAGACCCTACAGACAGGAGGGCAAACTGGTAGAATCTAGGAAGTGACTGGACAGGGTGAAGGTGCTAGTGGATGAGGGAAAATACTAGCAAGGGTGAACACTAGCATCCCAGTTCTGAAGACTTCATTGCTTCTTTCCATCACACCATCTGGGATCTGCAGCCCATTTTGGGAAGAGGACAGAAAGGAAAAAAAAAAAAAAAAGACAGAATTAGTCCTCTCCCCCCATCTCCACAAAAGGGTATACTTAAGACCCAAGTTCCTCCAAGCCTAACAGTAATTCCTGGAATGCCCCTTTAGCCAATAGGTCAATCTAACCTAGAATGGGTCATTTTCCTCTTTCCATTTCCTCATTGCTGAAAAACCTAACGGGGTCCCAAAACAATGGCATGATCTGATCCTGGGTTTCATTTTGCTATAAACATCTGGTTGATGGAGTCCTTGGTTGGCTCCTTTCCTTTTCTTTCTTTCGTTTTATTTTGGTGGTACTGAGGATTAAACCCAGGGTCTTACTCATTAGGCTAATGTTCTACCACCCAGTTGTATCCCTAGTCCTGCTCTGTCATTGTCTGAGATGTGGGTTTGGTGTGGGTGAGCACTCTAGGGTATGTAAAATAGGGGAACTGAGTGGCCTAGATACTTGAGCTTACACCTGTCTGCCTGTCTCATTTTGTCATGGAGCCAGCAGCCGCACAACGTGATCCAAAGACGTCTGATGGAGGGGAATCAGAGTCGGCTTCAGGGGGAGTCTCCCTTAGTGCAGGCCCTGGTTCATGGCCAGGACAGCAAGAGGAAGACCAGTGGGACAGAGATTCCAGCTCTTCTGGTCAACTGCAAGGTGAGAGGCCTTCTAGGGCACTGATCTTAACAAACCTCCCTGAGCAGCTCACTTTGTTCTTCTTTCTGCCCTGACTGGCAGGGAAAAGAGACAGGAAGGGCAAAAGGGCACTTCTCCCCTATCCTGGACCTAAAACAAGTTCTCTGTCTTCTTTTTTCTCTGTTTCAACCCATCTTTTCTCCCGCAATTCCATCTGTTATCACCACAATATCATTTCTCTCCTGAAATTGTAATATTTACATGTGAAAACTTAAGTCCTCTTCAACTGCTCTACATATCTGAAGGGTGCATGCATGTATGGGAAATGCATTCTCCCAGGAAAAGCTCCTATGTTCCCTGGCATCTCTAGAGCCACTGAAACACCCACTATTGAATTGTTCCCAATAAATGTTCTTCTACTCTTCTGCCCAGAGAGCTCTCTTCCTGTTCTCCAATCACTCTGTCCAAGTTCTGCAGTCCTTTAAGGCCCAGCTCAGATGTTACCTCCTACTTGAGAGATTTATTGATGCCCCAAGGAGGAAATAGCTTTCCTCCCTCTCAACTTCTAAAAGACACTTGACTCAATCTTCTCACAGACTTTAGAACTTTCTACGAGGCTGTGGGTGTAGCTCAATGGTAATGCACAAGGTCCTGAGTTCCATCCCCAGTGTTTCAAAAACAAAACAAAAAACCCCTCAAACCAAAAACACCTTTGTACCAGAGTTATATTTTACTTTCTTTACATTCCTGAAGAACAGTATTCACTGATGTACTTTCCAGCAGCATATCTTCTGCATTGTAGATGCTTAATAAATATTTTGAATGAGAAAACTACGTGTGTGTGTGTATCAAAGTGTATAGCCAAATGTCTGTAAATATCCCAAAGAAAGCAAACTTGTCTTCCATTATTTGCAGTGGTGAACCTCTTGGTTACTCACATCTAAGTTTCCTGATAAGGGATTCCAGTCTCATCCCTCCTCTATTCCTAACCAGGAGGCCTCAACCTCACGAGAATTTCTCTAAGCAAACATCACCATTTCTGGCCAAATCATTCCCAACTTATGGACTCACTGTGTGGCTCTGCTTCTTTTCTGATTTCTTTACCGGAGAGACAGTTTTGCTTCAATTATAACTCCCATAAAATTTCCTTTTGAAGACTCAGTTCATTCCCTATGTTCATTTTTAAGAGAACCATCAAAGCCGGGAAAGCTGAAGCCTTAACCCCAATCATTATTTTTTTAAGTCCAGGGATTGAACCTAGGGATGCTTAACCACTGAGCAACATCCCCAGCCCCTTTTTATATTTTATTTAGAGACAGGGTCTCACTGAATTGCTTAGAGCTTTGCTAAATTGCTGAGACTGGCTTTGAACTCAATGATCCTCCTGCCTCAGCATCCTGAGCTGCTGAGATTACAGGCATGTACCACTGCACCCAGCAACCCAACTCCAATCCTTCTTCCCGAGAAACTCACTGATCCACCCAAATTCTTCTTTTTTAGTGCCAGGACCAGCTGCTTAGAGTGGCTGTGAACACAGGAACCCAACACAATCAGATCTCCACTGGATGTCTCAGCCGCCTAGGGTAAGAGTGTGGTCCACATGAATGAATGGGGATGGGGTTTCTTTTTGGAGTGATGAAAATATTCTCAAATAAGCTAGTGATAATTGCACAACTCTGTGAATATACTAAAAACCACTGAACTGGGGCTGGCTCATGGCTCAATGGAAGAGCCTTGACTAGCAGACAGTGAGATTTGATCCCAGCACTACAAAAAACAAAACCCCAAACTACATACTTTAAAAAAGTGAATTTTAGTTAGGTGCAAAGAGGTATATGCCTGTAACTCCAGCTACTCAGGAGGCTGAGGCAGGAGGATTGCAAGGTGAAGGTCAGCCTGGGCAACTTAGGGAGATTCTGTCTCAACTTTAAAATAAAATAAAATAAAAAGGAATGGGATTTAGCTCAGAGGTAGAGCACTTGCCTAGCATGTGTGTGCACACATGCAAAGAATGAATTTTATGATACATGAATACTATCTCAATAAAGCTGTTATTAAGTTTTTGGCAGTGCTGGGGATTGAACCTAGAAATCTTGCACATGCTAAGAAAGCACTCTACCACTAAGCTACACCCCAAGTCCAGCAAGTACATATTTATTTAAATACTTTTTTTTCTTTTTTATGGTGCTGGGAATTGAACCCAGGATCTCAAACATGCTAGGCAAGTATTCTACTGAGTCACATTCCTAACACCCCAAAAAGTGGGTTGGAGGCTCAGGCAGGGAATATAAAGATTTAGACTCCATGTGGTATCAGGGATTGAATGAGAATAAATCAGTAGTAGCCAATTAATGGGGTTGGGAGTAAGAGTGTGGAGTCCATGGTGGCCATAACACTTGTTTCCTAACCACAGGTTAGGGAAGAGGGTTCTGAAAGCCCCAGGTGGGGACATGGCACCTGGGCCAACCCAGGTGGAGCAGCTGGAGCTCCAGCTAGGGCAGGAGAAGGTGGCATGCTCAGCCCAGGTGGTGGGTAAGTTCTCCCTTTGCCAACAGCCTTTTGTCACCTCTCCTACCTTTCTCTTCTGGGCATGGCAAAGGCAGTTTCAGCCACTGCCAGTCCCCAAGGATGCTCTGACTGTCCTGAGCTTTGTGCCAGTATTCTCAGACCTGCTATTGGGGTGGGCAGGGAAGGAGGAAGTGCCGAGAGGGCGCAGCAGTGACCATGATGCAGCCTCTCATTTTTCAATGGTTTCTGCAGATGTTGACAGTCCTGAATTCTGCCTGGGCCTGCAGACTCTGCTCTCCCTCAAGGTAAGGTGACCATACTTGGGGCCCGATCCAAAGTATAGAAAGAGGCAGAAAGCACAGAGTGGAAGTGAAGGTCAGGCTCTGAGGGAAAAGTCAAGAGAACTGGGTTCTTCCCTGACAGGGGTCCAGGTATATGGGAAGCAGAGAGAGCAGCAGAAAGCAGGTGGAAGCTGTGGGAAGTGGAAGGGGGAACACAAGATTGGGTTTCAGACGGGTGACCTCGTATCATGGACTCCATACCCCACAGTGCTGCATTGACCTGGAACATGGAGTGCTGCGACTGAAAGCCCCCTTCTCAGAGCTGCCCTTCCTGCCTCTGTACCAAGAGCCTGGCCAGTGACCGCTGTCCCAGTTGGTCCCAGAGGGAAATACCTTGCCTTAGAGGAAGAGCCATGTATGGAGTGGGGACATTATCTGAGCTGGGTAGCTGAGGACTACTGTGTTTGTCCTTCTTCTCACCATCCTGACCTCCGCTGTCCCATTTCTCTCAGTTGGCTGCCTTCCTCTCTGCTTTTCAGTAGCTGCCCTCTGTTTCAGGAAGTTTCCACTAAAGGGCCTATCTCCCACAGCTAGACTGCCATGCTTCTCCAGCCTGGGTCCCTGGCCCTTCTGGTACTTGCTCTTTGGGCACCTACCCTTCTGATTCTGTTCAGAGATGAGTGTGGAAAGACAGTAAATGGAATAATTCAATATAAGGAAGGGAAGTTAGTATAGGAATGTCCAGCCCATAAGGTTGAATACTTTGATTAGTTATATTTTATGGGCTGCAAATGTCTGGGGATGTTTCTGATCAATTGATTACCCTGTGCAAAAACTGAGTATGCCTCTAATACTTACTCTGGATACTTATCCTTCTTTCACTTGCTTTTGTACCCACTGGGCCCCTGAGCTTTGGGACAGTGTTAGGAAGAACCCTGTAGAGAACTGTCTCTACAACCCTGCAAGGTGGACACAATGTTAGGGCTGTCAGTATTCAGACTTAACCTATCCAAGATTCATTCTCTCTCTCTCTTTTTTTTTTTTTTGGTACCAGAGATTGAATCCAGGAGCATTTAACCACTGAGCCACATCCCCAGTGCTGCCCCGCTTTTTAAAAAAATTTTACTTAGAGACAGGGTCTTGTTGAGTTGCTTAAGGCCTTGCTAAGTTGCTGAGGCTGGCTTTGAACTCATGATCCTCCTGCCTCAGTCTCCAGAGCCACTGGGATTACAGGCAGGCACCACTGTGCCCTGCTTCATTCTTATTTCTAGAACTATCCACCTCATTAAGCCTTCTTCCTACTCCTCTCATGTCTTCTGAGCTTGAGCTTGTCTTGTCCTGGAATTAGTGGCTTTCTATCTCCCTGCCAGACTTGGAACCAAGGCAAAAAGACAAAGGCTCACACTGATTTTTCTGTGAAGAGCAGAATCTAAATCTTAAGAAGTTAGATGCCTGAGTGTCTTTCTGGCTGTTCTAACTCTCTCAAATCATGGTTGGGGTAGAGAAAGACAGCGATATCTAACCCAAACTAAGGAACTAGGACCATTGGGCTGGAAACTAAATCTTTAGTGTGGGGTAGATTAGAGAAAAAACAGGATGCAAGGAGCCACCTTGTGGCCCTTGGTCTTATCTTTTCAACTGACTCCCTGGCCGTCAAAAGAAGGGAAGGCTTGCTTAGCATATTTGTCATAGTGCCTGGTCTTAAAACTCCTAAAGGACTGCCTCTCCTTCACTGTCTTGCTCTATGACCTCTACCTCTTTCCCTGTCTTTCCTGCTGCTTCTGTGATTGCAGACCCAGGCCCAAGGCAGGCCGTGACTTAGCTACTTCTCCATTTGAATAAACACTTGTTTCTCTATGCTGTGTTGTTTTCTGGTCCTCCTCCCGCCTACTGAAAGATGAATGGTAACTTGGTCCCTATTGGCTTATGGGAAGGAAAAGTGAATAGGGTCCTTCCCCAGGTTGACCCATTGGGTTAGTCCAATGGAGAGCAATGGCTTGTAAAATACACTCAGTACAAATGCACACACACAATTTTGACAAAACAATACTTATCTATACTGTGAGCAGTGGATTCTGATATTTTCTATTTTACTTTATTCTATTCTAGTTCATTTATTTCAGATATGCTGGCCACAACCCACCCAATGATTACAATGTACAACTTGAAAAACACAGACTTAGAGAAGAGAAACAAGAGCAGAAAGAATATAAATTACCCAATATATAATTCTAATCAGAAACCTTCATCAGACTGTAAACATAGCACCATGACATAGACAATAAAGTGGGGGGAAACAAGTGGGTGGGGGAGATGGGAGCAAGGCCTATCAAGCTGTGCAATACTTAAGACTATGGCAGGGCAGGAGGTATCACTCAGTGGTAGAACATTTGCCTAGCATGTATGAGGCTCTGGGCTCAGTCCCCAGCAGCACCAAAGAAAAAGAAAAATAGCAAAGTAAGAAAATACGGGCTCAGCTGCTTCAGTAAATGGAGAAAAATCATCTCAGGGTTGCTAGGACTACAAATAAGATTACACTGTAAAATGAAAGACCCCTCTAAACAAAACAAAGAATTCGCCATTCCTGTACTAATTACTAATGTCAATGAGATGGAGCTGTGCCATGAAATACGGTACTTAGGATTGGGTGGTGGATTCCCTACATCCACTGCTTCCCTGAATCTGAAGTCTGGTTTCCTTATGGGTGCTGGGGCCATGCAAAAGATCTATACTCTGTCTTCATAGACACATCTGTTTTCTGCATAGTGAGGGTAGGGAGCTCAGGGATGAGGCAGTGGTGTCCTGAATGATTTTGAATAAGGTCAAGATCTCATGATCCACTTGGCTGATGTGGTGGATGTGGTCCATAAAGAAATGGGCTGAGGGTCACCTTGTCTCTTCTTTCACCAAAAAGACTGAGAGGTCTCTAGTTCAAGGTCACCCTAGGGTTGCTGCCATCCTTCCATGTCAAGACTCAAATCCTGCTCCTCTGTAATAATACATTCCCTATCCTGCCAACATTACAGATACATTTGGGGGTGGGAGTGGGGGTTCAGAAAGATCCTTCACCAGACAGGAGGCCAGTCCCAGCTAGGTGGGATCCTGGAGGCTTGAGGGAGCACATGGTAGTGGCTGGTCCGGATGGTAGAGAGTTTGGTGAAGCAGGGCTCGGGCTGCAGGGAGGTCATCAGGATCTGAGGGCCAAAAAGGGGCTGGTAAGAGACTGTGGGTTTCCTGGGTACCTGGTCCCTGTCTCTCCTGGGACTCACCCATCCCCAGCTCCTGCAGGAGGCTGTGGTACTCAGGTTCAGCTTCTAGCAGTTTCAGCAGATTGGTGGACTCCATCCGTTCCAGCTGTACCTCCCAGTAAACATAGATCTTCTGGTTAAAAGTGACGTACACGAGGCAGGGGCTATTACGGCCCTCTTTGCAGGCGTACAGGCCTGGAAGATGTGGGTAATGAGACAAAGGTCAAGTTGGAGTCCCCGTAGGAAGGCAAGAGCAAGACTCAACATCAGAATCAGCAGTTTTGGCTCTCCCACAGATGTCAAGCAACAAAGGCCCTCTTTCTATTTTTTCTCTATTGGGAACTCAGTAAAATGGGAAAACAAAGAAAATATTTGCCCTATCCCAAGTATAGAAAAATTATAGTAAAAAAACAGGCAGAACAGCACCCAAAAAAGTGGTATTTATTGATTTTTCCATCTTAGTGATGTTTCTAGAGTAATGAGGGACATCCTTGCTAGTTTAACAGATAGGTTAGTAAAATGTGATCAGAAAGAAAAGTTTCTCTTAGGTGTCAATCCTTTTTTTCAAAGTATATATGTCAACCTTTCAAGTCACTGGACTTGTATTCCAGAGAATGGTTCAGTTTTTATCATTTTAAAATAATATTTAGTTTTGTAGTGCTACAGAGGAAACCAAGGGCCTCGTGCATTCTGGGTAAGGATCCTACCACTGAGGTACACTCTAGCTTTTTACCATTTCAGACATCAGACATATCCCCTAGTCACCCAAAGAGCTAGCGCTACTTCCCCAGGTCCCTGATTTGATAATAATGAGAATGCTCTGGGAGAATTTTCTTCACAGAGTTCTGGCAAGTTCAGATAGAAAAGAACTATCTAATGTCTTCTCACATTCCAGAAAAATAGATGATGAGAATCTTCTTATTCTTGAAAATATTCATAGATGGAGACTGTTAGAGTCTGTAAACAAGTCAAAATAACACCTGGCATTTTGCCAGGGGAATGTTAGAGTTCGTAAGAAATGTTAGAGTCTGTAAACAAGTCAAAATAACACCTGGCATTTTGCCAGGGGAATGTTAGAGTTCGTAAACAAGTCTGGATGGTGCCTGGCAAAATGCCAGAGGGAGTGGTTTGAGAAGTAACAAAAGCAAGCCATTAAGTGTGGAGATTCCTTATTGGTTGACTGATGTATCTAGTTTATGCTAATTAGATAAGCTGTGTGGAATGTATAAATACTGCTCCTGTCCTGCAATAAACGGCTCCTACTCCTGCTGTATCAATGCACACAAGTTGTTCGTCACCCCCCGGTTATTTTGCTGCAGCCGGACTGCGGCAGGAGACCTTATTATCTTTTAATTTTTCTTATTTAAAATTGTCAAGATGGGGCTAGGTTGTGGTTCAGGTTGTGGTAGAGCACTTGCCTAGCATGTGTGAGGCACTAGGTTTGATCCTCAGCACCACATAAAAATAAGTAAATAAAATAAAGGTATTGTGTCCATTTACAACTAAAAAAATTAAAAATCTAAAATTGTCAAGGTGGCAACCTAGTACCCATACATCAGCAGCTAATGAAAGAGCTAAAGGACTGAATTGTTTATAAGACTTTCATTAGGGACTATGTCAAGAGTGGAAATGAGAGGCAGACATTTACCTAGCCTATGTAATATGCTTATTTAATACAAATGCACTTAGAGAAGGGTTATGGGGAAGAATCCCACCTGCACAGAAGGCGCGGATATTTTCATCCACTTGGAAGCGAACAACAGTGCGGTTGTAATCGATAATATATGTCTGTCCATCCCAGGCACATGCAACCACCTCTTCATGCCCATTTCCCTGAAAAAGGCCAAGACAAGGATGCAGGAGTGGTGAAGGGGTGTTTTAGAAAAAGATCTAATGATGGGAGCTGGATGAGATATAAAGGACCATGAACTTGGCTCTGGATGGCCAATAGGGAGTTGAGGAAGCACTCCCATGTGCCTGGTACCTGAAGTCAAATAAACCACTTTAAAAAATGCTCACAGCAACTCTATGGAGATGGAAACATTATTCCCTAGTTTAGTCTGAGGAAACTTCAGCTTTCAGAAATAGTCACTTGCCTAATGTCACTCAACTGGAGAGGGGTGAGGCAAGACCCCAAGCCAGGTCTGCCTTCAAAACCATCAAGCATGCACAATAGCAGTGTAAAGTTTAGCCCCCATCTGCCAATTTAGAGGCACAGCATATTAAATAGACTCATATGGAAAAGAAAAAAACTACAAAAAGCACATCTGTATTCGGGACTAACAACTCACTTCTAGACTCTTACAGTAACTTCTTTTTGGGGGGGTTTATTGCTTCTACTGAAAGGTATGGAAATAAGAAATTTTTCCAGCTGCCTAGTAGAGAGAACTTATAAATACTGTGGTGTCAGGAAACACACTAACTCCAGATAACTTGATGTGTCTAAGAGACTTGATTTGAATAGGAGAATGGCTTGATTTAAAAACCATCTCTCCATGAAGGCAGAAATGCTATTCTCCACCATTTCTACTTACTGTGACATCTAACTTTTCTAGGGCGAAAAGTTGGTGATCCACCTGGACTGACCACAGCAGCTTGTCTGCTTCTTCCATAAGCTTCAATGTCCCTATAGGGGGAGACATGGGCTTGGGATGGGTGGGTCAGGCCACTGAGCAGACCCCACAGGCAAACACCTACCCAATGCAGCCCAGCATTGCTCACCATCCAGGGTGCACAGGGCAAAGAGGCCAGAGCCACCACTCTCAGAACTGTGGCCTGTGGTTGAGAAAAAGGGCCACAATAAGAAAGTGTGAAGGACAGAGTAAGATCAATCTCCAGGATGAGGGGTGGCCTGTGACAGAGAGGGAAGGACGGGACTAGAAATGAGGTCAGGTCCAAGATCTCCTCTCCCTCAGAACTGACCAGCTATCCCTCAGCTCCTTCCCTTCTTCCCCCTCACCCATCCTCACCTTGCTTGATGTTGCCAATCAGGTGAGTGGAGACGTTCTTGTTGTGGATGCGGCCAGAAGTCTGGTGCAGCACTATATCTCGGGCAGCTGGGGTCTCCCTGTGGGCAGGAGGGAGGTGGGCCAAGAGGGAGGTCAAGTAAGCTGAGTTCTCTGGGTCCTTTGAAGCTGCCATCCCTATAAGTTTCCAGGACTTGAATCAGCTTGGAAACTTATCCCTGACTCTGTCTGGCCCATATGGCAAATAGAAGAGAGCTTGGGCTGCCAGGTAGAAATTTTGGAACCTTGTAGGGCATAGTGGCACATGCCTATAATCCCAGTGACTCGGGAGGCTGAGACAGGAGGATCTCAAGATCAAAGCCAGTCTCAGCAATGGCGAGGCCCTAAGCAACTCAGTGAGACCCTGTCTCTAAATAAAATACAAAATAGGGCTGGGGATGTGGCTCAGTGGCTGAGTGCCCCTGAATTCAATCCCCAGTACCAAAAAAAAAAAAAAAAAAAATTGGAACCTCTTTCAGAAACTCTAAGGTTAAAGCCCAAGATTCCATGGGTCCCAAGTAATTTTCCTTAATGGGGAAAGGTGCTTGGGCTGGGACCTAGATGAAAGAGCTCTGTTAACTGCAGACCTCACTGCCACGTGCCCTCCAGGAGCCCATCTTGCTTCCATGTACCCCACACCATTCACAGTCCATAATTCCTTACCTACTGCCCTCCGTGGCCCCCTCAGAGGTAGCAGGGGACCCAGTATCCTTGTTCCAGGTGCACAGAAGCACTGCATAAGCACAGCCTGGCTGAGATACCATCAATTCAGGAACACCTAGTGGCCCCGGTGTCACCGAGAGACTGTCCACCTGCCAGGAACAGGGGCTTAACTAGGTTGAGGAGAGAATAAAGGGATACTCTGCTGAGAATAGGGAAGATCTGGGGTGGGGGTCCTAGGAACAGCCCTCCAGCTAGAGGGTAGAAGCAGGAGGAGGAATTCCAGGGTAGCAGGCAGGCGCCATCTCCTCTACACAGACCATCTGTTTTCTGCTGTGTGTGCCGCACTAGGTCCAGCTCCTGCTGCAGTCCATACCATCTCCCTTCGCACTCCTAGTTCTTAGCCCAATATTCCTTTCTCTTTACCACTCATTGGAATTTCTGCTTGACCTTGACTGAAAATGACCCTCTTTGGATCTCTCTCAGCAAAATGATGGTCCCTGCTTCCCTCCTTGGTCCTATCCCATGACATTCTCCCAGAAGCCCTTGCTCTCAGCTCCAGGGTTCTTGTTCTCCAAGCTCAGCCTCTCACCTGACCCTCCAGCATCCACTTCTTGAGGGACACCAGCTGTCCTGTAAGGTGTTCAGTGCCCTCAGCCATCTCTTCCCAGCGGAAGGCCCGTACCACACGGTCTGTGTAGCCCACTACCAGCTCACAATACCCATCTCCATCTGTGGGCACAGGAAACAAGAGGGGCTGAAGCCAAATCTGTATTGATCAGCTTGAGGCCTAAAAGTACCTTCTTGCAGCCTGTATTCTGCTACCATCTCCACCACTGGTCCCTTTGGTTCAGTGCAACTTTATGCCCAGCTCTCTGTGCTGGTCACCTTGCCTTTCCTTGTGCTCTTAGCAGTTACTCATGCAAATGTCCTGCAGGTCCTATCACTTCTGTCCTCTTACTTCTTACATATGTAGCCAATGTGCCAATTCATTCAAATGTTACCTTCTTAGCATGAACATCCCTGACAATTCCATTTAAAACTGCTACCTCCACCTCGATATGCTTGAAATCTTTGTGTTTTTTTTTTTTCCTATAGCATTTATTATCACTAATATACTACTGATTTTTTTGTGTGTGCGTGTGTGTATGTGTGTGTGTGTGCTGGGGATCGAACCTAGGACCTTGCCCATGCTAGGCAAGCGTTCTACCACTCAGCTATATCCTACTATTTAATTTTCTTATAAAATTTATAGTTTCTTTCCTGTTTTTTCCTAGTAAGGTCCAAGAGGACAGTGATTTTTGTGCGTTTTATTCATTATTGTAATTCTAGAGTCTCAAACAATGCTTGGCTTACACTGTGAACTCAATAACTCTGCATTAAATACACAATAGATGTATAAATGAATATGGACTTCACCCTCATCCTCACCCCAGTCTCTTGGAATCTGTTCTAGTACCCACTGATTCCTACCCGCCCCCACTGCCTGCAAAGGCAGCCATGCCCACCGATGTCGCTGATGAGCATGACCTTGGTATTGGCAGGAATGTGTTGCTTGAAGACTGGACGCTGCTCCTCTCCCATGAATGTCTCATGGTGCCCAGAAGCATCCAGAACCTTGGCAGGTGTCAGGTCAAACAAGTGAAACCAGCCTTCAGCACTCACTGCCACTACCAGGTTCTGGGAGAGACAGAGGTACAGGAGAGATGCACTAGACTGGGGAAGGAGGTATGGGCACAAGCTAAAAATCTAAATATTAGATCTCAGGGGTCAAGGCTGACTTCCACTGAGAGACAGGGATGGAGGGAAGGCCTTAGAGTCCTAACAAAGAATAAGATCCCTGAGAGTCCTCACCTTTCCTTTGTTACACACATCTCCAACTCCAACACAAGTCAACTGCAAGAGAGAAAGGGAGGCTCAGGGAGGTTATAAGGGAGACCATTTCTCCCCTAATCTCTGTGACGCAATGAGGAATGAGTTTTATAATTACCATCATTTGCTGAAAACTTGTGCCATGGAATCAACACTGATAGTCTTTATTGACTGAGTTACTGGGCTATAGGTTCAGTTTACCTATATAGCACAATTAAGATTTAAGCTAGGTAAGACAATTTAGGTTTAAAACAAAACAAAATAGAACCCTACATATAATATAGCTAGACTACCATATCTGTAGATGTACCAAATCACCACCCCCATTTGACTACACACTCATGCACCACATAACAATGTTTTGACCACATACACGATGGTGGTCCCATAAGATTACATCACCTAGTGGCATCACAGCTGTCTTAGTTTGTGTTTACATGTTCTATGATATTTGACAATGATGAGAGTTTGATGATGCATTTCTTAGAACATATCCCCGTTGTGAAGTGATACTTGACTTTATATGAACAACTTTAGGCAGCTTCCATAAAGTACCAAGGGACACTCCATAATATAAAAGACAATCCAAGCTTGTCAGGAGGGTTGGGACAGATGAGAGTAGTGCCTGGCACCATTCTCCCTGAGTTAAATGAATCCTAAAGCAGTGGCTGGGCTGAGCCTTTGGGGAGTAAAGACACTGGGGAGCTCTGGCATGGAACTCTCCCTTGCCAATCCCTGCACAGAGTGGATTCTATCTCTATTCCCTCAGACCCAGGGAGGTGAATACTGACCATTCCCTGACAGGTGCAGGTGAGCCATGGCCGGCTGTCGTCATTCTTATACACAGACAGCTTTCCGCTGGTATCTCCCACTACCAGTTCATTTAACTTCAAATAGAGAGAAAAGACTGTTAGGATGAAATCCTGTCAAACCACAGCAAGCTTTTCTCAACTCAGCCCATCCCTGAGAAATCACAAAGTTTCAATTTGTAAATTCAACAACTTTATTAAAAATTCTTTAATGGGGCTGGGATTGTAGCTCAGTGGTACAGGATTTGCCCAGCATATGTGAGGCACTGGGTTTGACTTTCAGCAACATAAATAAATAAATAAGTGTGTGTGTGTATGTATGTGTGTATAAAGGGTTTATCAACATCTAGAAAACATTTTTAAAAAACCCTCAGGAGGCTGAGGCATGAGGATTGCAAGTTTGAGGGTAGTCTTGGCAACTTAGTGAGATCTTGTCTCAAAAATTAAAAAACAAGCTGGGCATGGTGCTGCATGCCTGTAATCACAGAGGCTCAGGAGGCTGAAGCAGGAGGACGGTGAGTTCAAAGCCAGCCTTAGCAACTTAGCGAGGCCCTGCCTCAAAATTTAAAAAGGGCTGGGGATGTGGCTCAGTGGTTAAATACCCCTGGGTTCAATCCCTGGTACCAAAAAAAACAAACAAAGGTTGCTAAGGATGTAGCTCCTGGTAGAGCCTCCCTGAATTTATTCTAATACTGTAGAAAAAAAAAAAAAAAGTCCTTTGAGACTGGTAAGGATATAGCTCAGTTGTAGCATCTGCCTAGTTTATGTGAGGCCCTGGGTCCTATTCCCAGCACCAAAAACAAACAGACAAAATCAATTTCCCAGGATTTAAATATTTCCATTTAGGTAGGTGTATGTGTTGGATGCTATATGGAATCTATGATCCTTCCCAGAAAAATTTGACATCTGAACAGCTCTCTGCCCCACATGCCTGACTTCAGCTCTTCTAATTTGTCCATTATAAATGGGACAAAATGGTTTTGAAAACAGCCTAAGATACTGATTTTTTTAAACTTTTCTTTTTTTAAACTTTTTAAACTTTCTTTTTTTTAAACTTGTACTGGGGATTGAGCCCAGGAATACTCTTCAAGTGAACTATACCTCCAACCCTTTAATTTTTTTTTTTTTTTTTAAATTTTGAAATAGGGTCTCATTAAATTGCCATGGTGGGTTTTGATCTTTTTGCCTTAGCCTCTCAAGTAGCTGGATTACAGGCATGCACCATCATGCCTAGTGATATTGAACTCTTGAAGACTCTAACTTCAAACCTTGTATTCAATCAGGAGCTAAATAAAAAGATAAGGTCTGCTCCTGGGGCCTCCCTCCTCTAGGCCTTTGGATCTTGGCAGCATGTGTGAATACAGAAGGGATTCTGGTGACTGAGGGGCAGAGTCTCTGTGCTCTGAGTCTCTGGTGCCCTCAAGTGGTGGCTAGGTTCTGGGTGGGTGGGTGGATGAGGCCACCCCAACATGAAGGTTCTTCCCTATGACTGCTACCTACCTGGGCAGCTGCCCTTTTAGGGATTAACCATGAAAACCAAATGGCTCTAAACTCTATTTCTACAATCAGCTTTATGATTTGCTCTTGGAGGTATAGCTAACCCTACTCCTATTCCCCAAACAGAGAGAACAGAATCTAATCTTAAACTTAGATTCTCAAGAGATTTAACTCTAAGGCAACAAAGAGATCAACAGTAAGGAAGCCAGGTGTGGTGATGCACGTCTATAGTTCCAGCTACTAGGGAGACTGAGGCAGGAGGACTGCTTGAGTCCTGGAGTTCAAAGCCAGCTGGGCAACATAATGAGACATACTGTCTCAAAACAACAACAAAAAGCTGGGCCTGGTGGTGCTCTCCTGTAATCCTGGCAACTTGGGAGACTGAGGCAGGAGGATCAAAAGTTTGAGGCCAGCCTCAGCAAGTCAGTGAGACTCTATCTCAAAATAAAAAATAAAAAAGAACTGGGAGTGTAGCTCAGTGATAAAGAATCCCTGGGTTCCATCCCCAGTACCAAAAGCAAAGCAAAACAAAATAAAACAATAACAACAAAATACCACCAACAATAATAAACATAAGAAAAAGTTAGAAGCAAATTGGGATTTATCAATAATGATTTGACTCTTGGATTTATTTTTTAATAGTTATGGGAATTTCTGGTGAGAATAGTAGATCACAGAATACAAAGATCTTATTTATATGAAACTCTATAGCCAACATTTCAAATATGGCTGCCAAGAAGACTTTTACAGACACCCAGGAGAAAGGGAACACAGTGTTTGGGTTCAGAGTGAAACTGGCTGGATTTAAATCCAGCTCTCTCTGCTTACATTTTTCATTTATAAAACCAGGATAGGGCTGAGGATGTAGCTAGTATTAGAGCACTTGCCTAGCATGAGCAATGCCCTGGGTTCAATCCCCAGCACTGCAAAATAAATAATTAAATAGTAAAAAGGATAATGAGAATATCTACCTCATAAGATTGTGAGAATCGAACCAACAGAGGAAGGCCTTTAGAACAGTGATTGGTTTACAGTGAATACCAATACCAGGTGGAGTTTTAGCCTCTAGTTGAACTCCTCCAAGGATAGGGAATTTGTTAGCATCTTTCATAGAATTAATTTTTATACATTTATTCATCAAATGCCACAATACACAAGTAAAACCTCAATAAATGTTTTATGAACAAACAACAAAGATTTTGTGTGTGTGTGTGTGTGTGTGTATGCATGCATTTTTTTTTTTTTTTTGGTTGCAGAGCTGAGGATGGAATCCAGGGCTTCCTACACACTAGAAAAGTTAAATGAAAGAGAATGCCAGGTCAGTCCTGTAGTTTTCAGGTAAAGCTGGACAACCAGTTGGGGGTACAAAGATAAATGTCAGACTTCCTGCTGAGAAGGAGCTTCCAGTTCTGCCAGGCAAGATGGTGGGGGGTGGGGGGTGGGTGCGAGTGGAGGCTGGTGCACAGACACAGGAAGAAAATCATAAAACAGTGTTGTAGGTACAGTGAGCAAGCAGATGTGAGTCAGCCAGGCAGAGAGTGAATGAGGCAACGTCCTGGGGGAGAAGACATTTCCAGCAGCTAGAATGCTTCCCACCAGATCTCTGTGGATGAGCTTGGTTCTGGCCTCCAGTGGTCACTCACCATTGGATTGGTCAGCAATGTTAAAGGAGGAAGAAATTGGTTTCAAAGAGCTTTAAGCTATGGGTTTAGTAGGCTGAAATCAGTTTTTTTTTTTTTTTTTTCCCTGTTCCTAAATCTCCAAATGTTAGCTTAGAACCACTAGCAAAAATTCTTTTTTCTCAGTGGTGCCAGGAATTGAATCCAGGGCCTCACACATGTACTCTACTACTGAGTTACAACCCTAAGTATTCCCCCTAACAAAATTTCTATCTCCACTCTGTGGATCAAGTGTTATACCTGACCACTTGCCAACTGTCTTATTTAGTTGCCCTTCTTTCAATTATATTTATAAATAGCAGGCAAAGCTCTTCAATTTGCTTTGTGTCACATAAACACAATTGCTTTTCTTTCTTCTTCTTCTTCTTTTTTTTTTCTTTTGTGGTGCTGAGGACTGAACTAAGGCTTGGTAAATACTAGATAAGTGCTCTACTACTGAGCTACATTCTAGCCTACAATGTCTTTTTCAATTTGCTTTCTTTCTTTTTTTTTTTTTTGGTACTGGGGATCAAACCCAGAGGCATTTTACTACTGAGCCACATCCCCATTTCTTTTTTCTTTTGAGACAGGTATCATTAATTTGCATAGGGCCTTGTTCAAGTTGCCGAGACTGGCCTGCAACTTGTAATACTCTTGCTTCAGACTCCAGTCTCTGGGATTACAGGCATATGCCTACATGCCTGGCTTCAATTTGCTTTCTGAAAATAACAATATTAATTTAATCAAAAAGCACTTGTTGGATGACTATTACGTGCCAGGATCTAAGATGCTGGGAATAAAGCAGTGAAAAAACAGACTTAAAAAAAATTCCTGGCTGGGCTTGGAATTTATATAATCCCAGAGACTCTGGAGGCTAAGGTGGGACGATTGCAAATTCGATGACAGCCTCAGCAATGTAGGACTTAAGAACTTAGTGAGACCCTGTCTTCAAATGGAAATAGTAATAATAATTTTTAAAAAGATCTGGGGATGTAGCTCAGTGGTAAAGTGCACCTAGGTTCAATCCCTAGTACATATATATCAAAAGTAAAAATTCTGGCTGGGCAAGGACCTGTTGTTCCAGTTCTCAGAGTACTGCAGAAAGATGGCATGAACCAGGAGTTTGGTGCCAGTGTGGGCAAAACTGCAAGCCCCCTCTCTTTAAAAATAAATAAATAAATAAATTCAATCCTTATGGAACTTACAGTAATGGAGCTAGGTGGGGAAAAAAAAAAGGTAATATAATTTGCAGCTGTCCCTCCTATTTATGAGGGATTAGTTCCAGCTCTTCCCACTTTGTGAATACCAAAATCCAAGTATGCTTGAAGTTCGGGCCGACCTCCCATATACTTAAAATCATTTCTAAAGTGTTATGCAAATAGTCATGCGCTACATTCATTTCAACCAATGGTGGACCACATATATGAAGGTATATACTATGTAGCCTATAGTTGACCATATTATTTAGGTTTGTGTAAGTACACTCTGTGATGTTAGTACAATGAAATCATCTAACAATGTACTCCTCAGAAGCATCCCCTTCATTAAGTGATGCACGATTATAGTTGTTATACAGTATTGCTTAGGAAACAATAACAAGAAAAAAAGTCTATAATTTCAGTTCAGACCCAATTTTTTTTTTCTCCAGATATTTTCTATCCCTGGTTGGTGGAATCCCTAATGCAGAACACTTAGATAGGAAGGGCAGACTGCAATAAAACAGCACTAACAATTAATGAGGGCTGGGGATGTGGCTCAAGCGGTAGCGCGCTTGCCTGGCATGCGTGCGGCCTGGGTTCAATCCTCAGCAGCACATACAAACAAAGATGTTGTGTCTGCTGAAAGCTAAAAAAAAAAAAAAAAAAAAAAACAATTAATGAGTGTTAGTAGTGTGCCAGGAATTGTTCTACGTGCTTTATCTGTACTGACTTATTTAAACAACGAAAGTAGTAATGATTGCTGAGAAAAAGAAAAATAGATGGAGATTGCTTCTGCAATTCAACAAAGCGTTAACACTTTAAAGATGCCAGTCATCTGTCTCTACTCTGGGTAGGCACTATAGAAACCCGACAGTGTCAAGATAGGGGCAACAAGTTGCCCGACAACAGGAGGCAGAGAAATCCTGTTCTATTCCGGAACATAGTGCAAGAGCAAAGGTGCGTTTACAGCCATGTGAGACAACGCGGGAATGACCAATTCTGCCAGGGTGGGAGGGGTTAGGGAAGTCTGGAGCAGCGGAGTTATATGCAGCGCGGTATCATTTTAAGGTAGTAATCTGAAAGGTGATGCCATGAGGGGAGGCTAACTCGTTAACTAGTCCAGGTATCACGGGAGTTTATCAGGCTCTACCGTGAACAAATTACTGAATTAGGCAGAAGAGAAATAGCTCCCAGGGTATCTGCCTAACTACCCCGGCAGTGACGTCTGGAACGGAAGACATCAATAAAGTTTTCCAGCCAGCGCGCATGCTCACGGCTCACCAGGCGCGCCTCCGGCGGCGGCTTCCTCCCTAGCCCCGCCCCGCGCGGATGCAGGCTGCTTGCGTCCCTTATAGTGAGCATGCACTCACCGCATCGTTATCGACGTCTCCGAGACAGATTGCGTGTGGGAAGAGGCTCCCGCTAAACTCCAGCGCTACGCGCTGCACGTAGCTAACTGACCTCATGGAGCCTCTGAGGGCGGAGGGACCGGGAGCCCGCCAAAAGAACCCCGAACCCCCTCCGACTGCCGAGCGAGCGGAAGGCCACGTAAAGCGGAAAGTTACGTCACCGTCTAAATTTCCAATCCCTGTATTCCTCGCTTAACTTTAGGGAGGAGGCGGGTCTTCCGAGCCTGGAGGCGGGCTGACCCAAGGACTGATGAGTGACAAAGCAACTGGCCACTGCTTGTCTCCAGAGGGCTAGAACGCATGGGTAAGCGGACCGTGACGTGGCGAACCTGTTCCCTTGACAACGGGACTCTCTAGGGCTTGACCTAATAACCTTGACCTCTTACTTTATTGCCCTGGCAATGAAGTTCCTAGTCATTGGACCATCCCTGAGAATCATGTTAACAGTTGTAATAAAGGACAATGGTATGATTTCCAATGGTGTTTTTTATTAGCCATTAAGAGTTGTGAAAACGATGTAGTGAAATGCAACCAGCATTTAAAAAAATTAAAAAGACCAAGTGACTCTTGAATGGCTTTTTTTTTTTGTGAAACCTTTTAGTTGTATACATTTATACACACACACAAGTTTATATAATGTAAAAAAAATTGTTTTGTTTTGACAGTGTTTTGTGGTCAATAGTTTGAAAACCATCTGCTGCAAAGCACATTTCACATATACTATTTCACAAAATTAGCACAGCCATGTATAATTGAATTACTATTCCAATTTCTTCAGATGGGAAAACACATTCAGCAAGATTAAGTAACTTGGACTGGGGATACAGCTCAGTTGGTAGAGTGCTTGCCTCAGATGTACAAGGCCCTGGGGTCAATCCCCAGCACACCCCCCCCCCCAAAAAAAAAAAAAATTAAGTAACTTGGCAGAAAGTGCTGGAAGTGGCACCCATACCAAATTGATCCCAAACCCCAGTGCCTTTCTGTCATTTATTGCTGTGCTCCTGTTACCGCTGTTGACCGGTGTCGAGTCCTTGCTTCCCCAGTGTTGAAGAATAACACCAGAGAAGCACACCAGGCAAGGTCAGAGTGGAAAATAGAAGTTTATTAAAGAAAATAGAAGTTTATTAAAGAGATGGAATCCGTGGAAGTGCAGTTGTCTCTCCATTTTATAGTTTCTTTCAGTGATGGAATGTAGGTGGGAGGGCCCAAGGGGTGGGACACAGGTGGGCCAAAGAAGTAATCTGGTCAGGAAGGACTTCTGAGTCAGCACCTTCAAGTTTGCTGGGGGCTGTTCATTAACACTTCTTTGGGATGGGCTATCTTCCTGTTTGCTGGGGGCTGTTCATTAACACTTCTTTAGGATGGGCTTTGGCCTTGGGCTTTTTCCTGGACTTCATTAACATTCCATGAGTTGTCCTGTGCTTCCGGAATTCATTCTCAACATGGCCTCCATTTTAGATCTTACTGGATATTAGACCTGATTTACCTAACTACACTGACTACCTAACTTTAAATCTGGCTTCACTACCTTACAGGAAGTGAGCGTTGCTGGGATTGTGAACCTGCTCTGCCTTGTAGCCTTCCCAGCACAAAGTCGTCCGCCCCCCCCCACCCCTATAGTGCAGATGAGCCTATTATTAATTTCGTGGGTGGCTACTTTGGGATTCTTTCCCTTTTGAATCCGGTCCTGCATTTCTTTGGGGAGTCTCATTAATCAGGGCAATAAATATTATTTATGAAATCCTATAGGTACTCAATTCATATTTAGGTTTCAAGTCTATAAGCCCAGACTGGTTTACACTTGGTCAGCAAAAATATTACCTCACCTGGGGTGATTGGACCAGGGGTGGCCTATTTTCTATGTCTGAACATAGTGGGAGAAGACTGGAGGGCAGGACCTTTTTGCCAGGGTGGGTGGGAGGACCAGATATGGTCCTAGAAGTCTCAATGGATCCCAGAGCTGGGTAAGATAAGGAACAGCAGATGAGAACAGCAAACAGGAGGCAGTTTAGACAAATACTGGGGATTTCAGATATACACTTGAGGCTAAACCGTTACCCCTTCCTGTTTCTGGTAGTGTCAGGTCCACTACTGAGCTGGGTGTAGAGGTATGCTTGCTGTTTTAAATGCATTATCTCATTCATGGAGGGGGAGGGGTTGCATGCTGTCTCACCTAATGCTCTACCACATCTCTATTCTCTCATCCTAGTTCAAACCCTAATAATTTTCCTATTGAGTTGCTGTTTTTGTGGTGCTGAACTACATCTCCAGCCTTTATTTATTTATTTATTTTTTTGAGACAATCTTGTTATATTGCTCAGGTTGCCTTGAACTTGTGATCCTCCTGCCCCAGTCTCCCAAGTAGCTGAAAATACAGGCATGGGCTACTGTGTTCTACTACTATTAGTTTTCTTTTTTGTATTTTTTTTTTTAATTGTAGATGGACACAATACCTTTATTTTTATGTGGTGCTGAGGATCGAGCTCAGTGCCTCATGTTAGGCAAGTGCTCTACCACTGAGCCACAACACCAGCTGCTCTCTGATGGGGGAAAATCCATGGGATTTTATGACATCACTCTGCCTGTAGGTTTTAAGGAGTGGAAAAACAAAAATCCATTAAAAATATTTACCTCTAGGGCTGGGATTGTGGCTCAGTGGTAGAGCACTTGCCTAGCATGTGTAAGGCACTGGGTTTAATTCTCAGCACCACATATAAATAAATAAAATAAAGGTCGATTAACAAACTAAAAAAAAAATATTAAAAAAAATTTACCTCTAAATTTAAAGTGTGTTGTGCTTTGTTGTACCTTATTGTTTCTCCACTCTTTTCAGCCTTCTCAGTGAATTTGTAAAATGAACATATTAATAATTCTTGGAACAAAATATAAATAAGGATCACCCTGCTTCCATCAGTACTCTGGCCTGACAATTCCCTAAAATCATACTCTGACTCCACAATGTCTTAGTTCTGTCTTCCTCATCCTTGCCTCCCCTCACGGCCCAACCCCAATCTGGGGAGTGAACCCAGGCCTTGTGCATGCTAGTCAAGCGCTATACTACTGAGCTATATACTCTGCTCTTTATTTGGGTTTCTCATTCTGGGTCTATGATGGGGCGGTTTTTGTTTGTAGATTGTTTGCCATGAATGTCATGTCATTTTGATCATTACTTGGATGCCATATAGCTTTTGGTTTTGGTTAGAGTCAGCCAAGTAAAGTTGGAAAGGGAGAAAGGGTCTCCAAGAATTGGGGCATGAGTTAACTTTGTACGTCTATGCCTCTCTCTGCCTCATTTACTTTTAAATGCATTGTTACTTTCACAGTAGGTGGAACACATGAAAGGGGGTGCAGGACCATGTGGATGGATTCCTGCTCCACAAGGAGCACCCCTATTCTTGGCACTCTTCTAAGGGGGATGGCTGGTGAGTTTATATTGGCATTATCTAGCTCCCATCTTGTCAAAGCCAAGCACTTTCAATGTTTTTTGGCCTAACAAATGCTAACTAGTTTGTCTTCCTAGTTAGGTGACATGGATACAGGTGTGTGGGTGGCGTATTCATATTCTTTATGAACCAGAGTAGCCTTTAATAGAAACTTTCACCAGAGTGGGAGTCTGACCTATGACATCCTCCAAAAGTAGACTGGTTCTGCTCAATGCACCAAGAAACAGGACCTTCAAAGTTCTTTCTACATGAGGCCCAGAACCACTCAGCATCCTTGAAGCAGGTTCCACAGCTTCCTAACTGGATGTTTTCGAGACTCAATAGGACTGTTGCCTTTCTCTGTAATGCACCTTAGCATAATAAAGTTTATGAAAAGTTATAAAGTGAATTCAGGAACTTATTTCTCAAACTTACTTGACTTATAAATTGGGCAGAACACTTTGGCCAGCTCTGCTCTGAGTACTGTTACCCAGACTACCCTCTTCCTAATGAGTTTGTGCTATCCGAAAGTACCAATCCTGGAAAGCTTTGAATGCCAAAACCTCTTTGAGTGGTTGTATGTAAAACTGTATTGAAGGATAAGTAGTTCTGAGGAAATAGGCTTAAAACACACAAAGGATGAGAAAGATGTTTTGAAAAGAAGTGGTGGTTGCATGACACTAAGTAGTCAAATGCCACATAGTTGTTTGGTTTTATTTATTGCACTGGGGATTGAACCAAGAGGTTTTTTTGCTACAGAAGTTCACAAAGGTATTGCTTTTCCTTGACCATCCCTCCTCAGGACCATTTTGGGAACCCTTCATTCTTTGCTTCTTAAATTGGCATACAGCCTAACACTTGCTAAATTAATGTGGATTCCTAGACTTTACAATGGGATAATTGGTGCATAAACATTTTCTGAGGCTGGCAAACAACTGGGGAAGAAGCAGAGTCTAAGTAAGCAATGCTGATTTCCAGAAAATGTCTTTATTCAGTAGTGCCCTTAGCTCAGTCATTTTGGCTTGAGTTATAAGATTGTGAATTGTTCTGAATTTGAAAAATATAAAAAAGGAAAAATATCAGTTATCTTCAAATAATGGGTTTTCTCAAAAAATACTTTTTCCTGGTCCTGCCTAAAGGTCTTTCATGTATTTTTTCTTCATTTGAAATACATAGCTGAGTATAGTGGCATATACCTGTAATCCCAGCTGCTGCTTAGGAGGCTGAGGCAGGAGGATCACAAGTTCAAAGCCAGCTTCATCAATTTAGCGAAGCCCTTAGCAACTTAGTGAGATCTTGTCTCTAAATAAAAATGTAACAAAGGACTGGGGAATGTGGCTCAATGGGTAAGCATAAATAGGTTCACTCCCAATACAAAAAAAAAAAAAAAGAGATAATGATATACAATTTACCTCCAAAATCAAAGCTGGCAAAGCAAGCAAGGTCAGGCCTTGTGGGCCATAAGGATTCTAATCTTAATCCTAAACATGATGGGATACCATTGAAGGTGAAGGGACATGACATGGATGCAGTGTGAAATGCATGGGGGGGGGGGGGCAAGAGAATGCAAGGTATCTTAAGAATCTTTTGTAGGAGAGCAAGCCAGAGGTGCATGTGATTTTGAGGTGAGGAGTGGGGTGGTGATGGAGATGCTTAGGAGATCAAATTTATAGGATGGCAAGATTGTTAATACTTTGGTGATGAAACTTAGGGAATTTTGATATTTGGACTATAGTAGGGTAAGATAAACCCCATTTTAGTCCGCCCCTGGCCCAGTGAGACCACTTGTAATCTGCATCAATTTAACAGTACTGGTTGCTACTAGATTTTCTTATTCAAATAAAGAAAAGTGTTGGTGAGGAAGGTGCAACTGTTCGGAAAACTTGAGTCATGACCTAGAACAAGGTTGTGTGGGGTAGTATTTTTAGCCTTAAAGATGTAATCATTTTAACAAAACATCTTCAAAGGACTAAGGCTTTTCTATCTCTAGTTTTCTTCCAAAGCACAGTTAAGTTTTAAACTCCTAGAATCCTATAGAAACATTCAGAGCTGGACAAGACCTAAGGAGTACCTCTTTGGTACTAGGGATGTTTTACTGAGCTACACCCCAAGTCCTTTTTATTTTGAGGCAGCATCTTGCTAAATTGCTGAGGAGAGACCCAGGCATATACCTCAAGCATAGGAATGTCTTAGACCAAGCAAGCAGGCAGGACCAAGGGAGACTTGCTTCAGCATCAGCCATTTTATAAAACTCAGTGAAATATTTTTCACATGTATTTTCCACAATGTGCACGTGGCCAAATTTCTTCTGGAAGAAATGTACAGGCAAGTGGGTGGGAAGACTGCCTATCACTTTGCAAAGTACTGCACAACTCACACAGGAGACAGATAAGGGCACGGATATTTACAACTCTGGACTACAGCCAGGATCATCTGGAGTTGGCTTAGCATCATCAACTTGTGGCCCCCTGGCTTCTCCTAGAGTTCCAAGATGCTGTAGAAGTCAAGGATTAAAGTGTAGAAAAGCAGCAAAAAAGTTGTCTTAATATTAGCGTTGAGAATAAAATTGGGTATGACCACTGTTTCACACTAGTTTTTAGACCTTGATAAGAAACCAAGAAAGCAAAAAGATGACTACCAGATCAGAGTGAGGTATAATATAAGTCTAACTTCAGAACAAACAAGTAGGTCCCAGACTTGTAGAAATTTACACTTTCCTCTTAAGTGTCAGAAAAGAAAACCTGAGGCACTGCTGGGCTTCTGTAGGGAGGGCATGCAGAGAACCCACAGTCTGCACGCACAGGCCTACAGTGGGGCTGCTTCCTGTCCCATGGCTTTGTCTACATGGCATGCTGCACTTAAGCTGGACTGGGAATTAGAAAGGTGATCCACCCCCCTTCATTCTGCCCCTGCCCACAACACACCCTCGATACCCACCCTCCAAAACTGAACACAAAGGGTTGCCTGACACCCAGGTTTTATTTCCACTTTATTGCTCAAGCGTGGGACTTGAGGCGTGCCTGGACCTTCAGCAATGTGCAAAGAGGCTGGGGGGAGGGGGGCTGGGGACACAACCTGGCCAAGAAGGGAAGCTGAGAGGAGAAGAAATACCAGGAAGGGAGACAGGGTCGTCACCATGACACCAGAAGACATCATTAGCCATTTACCATGTGGGGTGAGAAAGGGATCAGAGAAGAGGTAATGGGCACAGCAGTGGTTTTTTCCATGCCCCTAGCACCTGCATGGAGGCCGCCTGTTTGGAAATGGACTGGAGAGGGAAAGGATGAGGAAAACGGCTGCCCAGTAGTCTCCCTCTCCACCCTGGTTTCACTTTAGACTCCATGCCTACCACTCACCCCCTTCTACCATTTGGAAATGGACCTAACAACAAACAGAGGGAGCAAAATAAATTAACATTCTGATGCATATGTGTGGATGGACATATGTTCACATGTAATGGGGGAAGGGAAGAGGGGGGCAATGCCACCTAAAATTATCCCCCATCTCAACCCCCCAGCCTATTCCTTTTCCCCTTCCCCCCAAAACCACCATCCAACCAGATAGAAAAATAAAGGTCTAATTCACTCAAAATTCTTCAGTTTTTACAAAACTAACAGGGTGGAGTAGGGAAGGGAGCAGGAGAGGCAGGCAGCCGTAGGAGTAGGGCTGAGGAGAGGCTATGCTTCCGTCTCCACCTGAGATTGGCTCCCTGCCACACTGTTCTTCTGTTCATCCTTCATCTCTGTGTCAGTGGGATGGTCTCCTGCAGCTACTTCTGACTTGGCCTGTAGAGACAAGATAGAGGAATGGGCTGAATTCCCAAGGTAAAAAACATGCAATTTCTAAGAGTTGCACAAACACTACAATCCCAGAATTGTCTTATCAAAGGTAATACTTATACATGTACAAATTATGAATTTATAAGTTCATTTTGTTAATATACATATATTTAGTTGTAGATGGACACATTATCTTTATTTATTTTTAAGTGGTGGTGAGGATCAAACCCAGTACCTCACACATCCAGGCAAGCACTCTACCACTGAGCCACAAGCCCAGCCAAAGGTTGTTCATTTTCATACTGTTTAGAACTATACTCATCTGATCATGATGGCCTCTACTACATGTGATTAGATCAAATCACTGTGTGTTTTTTGGGTATTAGGACTGAATCCAAGGAAACTCCACCACTGAGCCACACCCACATCCTTTCTTTTTTTTTTTTTTTTGAGATAGGGTCTCTTGCAGTTGCCTAGGCTGGCCTTGAACTTGAATTCCTTCTGCCTTAGCCTCTTGAGTTGCTGGGACTACATTAGTGTGTTTTAAGTGCAAAATACATACTCTATTTTGTTGTTGTTGTTACTTTTGGTACCAGGGATTGAACCTGGGTGTGTGTGTGTGCTCAACCACTGAACCACATCCTTAGCCCCTTCTGTATTTTGAGACAGGGTCTTTTTTTTTTGGTGGTGGTGGTGCTGGACACTGAACCCAGGGCCTTGTGCATGCAAGGCAAGCATGCTATCAACTGAGCTATATCCTCAGCTCGAGACAGGGTTTTACTGAGTTGGTTAGCGCTTCCTTGAGTTCCTGAGGCTGGCTTTTGAATAGGTGACACTCCTGCCTCAGCCTCTCCAGCTGCTGGGAGGGATTACAGGCTGTGCTGGAGTATACATTGTATTTTGAAAATTGGGGGGTGGGGCAGCAGCAGGAGAAAACAACAAAAATGCAACATCATTAAGAAATTACAATGTTCCAAAAATTTAGATACTTACATGGCTACTAAAAGTTATAAAAGTAGCATGTTTGCATTATATTTCTGGAGTATGCAGGTTTAGAATATCAGATCACTTGCTTCTGGGGGGAAGCAGGTTTTTTTCTTACTATTATCTTTTTGTGCACTTTGAATCTAACTACATAAATGTAACCTCTATTAAAAAATCCACTCACAGTTCAGTCGTAGAGTATATGCTTAGCACAACTTGAAGCATTGGTTTTGATCCCCAGCACCAAAAAACTCCCAGCCCCCTCAAAGCATGTGGCTCTTTTCAGAGGTCCAGGCCCAGAAGAGAATAGAAATTCGGAATTATACTCAGAGTAAGTGCTCCTGGCTGGTAGGGATTGCCAGTGGATTTCCAACCTTGCTCACAGAAGTATAATGGACTTCATTAACAAGGTTCATCGTGAAAGAACACACGTTCCTTGCTGCTACTGGAAAAAGGACAACTTCTGGTTTCCAGAATTGGCAAAGACAACCATAGGCACAAGGAGCTTATACCAGATGAGTTAAGGAGGACAGACAAGGAAATACCTCTTTTACGGTCCACTCCAGCTGTTCCCCACTTTGATCCTCACCTTGCTCTCTTCCTCTGCTAGCCTCTCAAACATGTTGGCATAGAGCTTTTTCTCTCGGGCAAGTTGCTTGCGGATCCGCTGCTGGCACACAGCCAGCTGGGTCTTGGCGGCTTTGTTGTTGGGGTAGAGCTGTAGGACCTTCTGGAAGTCAGCCCGTGCCAGGTCAAAGTCATTCACAGCCAGGTGGGCCTCCCCCCGGCGGAAGAGGCCTTTCTCATTATTGCTGTCCAGTTCCAGGGCCTACAGGTGCAGACAGGAAAGCAACACAGTAAGACTTAGGTGCTACAACTCATCCGGCTAAGGCTGGTTTCCAACAGGATGAAAAGGATGAACAGCTGGTGCTACCTCAGAAAGAATAATGATTCAGAACTAGGAAGAAACTCATTTATAGCCCAAGGGAAAGAAAAGGAAGATGGCAGGTCTTTGGATGAAATAAAGAAAAGGCCTTTGACATTTTCTTTTTTTTTAAAAGAATAAAGAAGGCAAGTAGGAGGGAGAGGCTAAGAACCACAGTGAGAAATAACTCTTTAGTGCTCCCGCCTTCTTCTGTGCCAATTGCCTCTTACCACTAAAGCCAAAGTGCTTGCAACTTGTATTCAATGCCTCTGGGCCTGTGATTTCAGAGCACCCAAGTGACGTATCCCATACTCCTAACCAGGTCACTGCGGATAAATTTCAGGTATGCTGGAGCTTGCCCAGGCCTGCCATGAATGCTACCTCACCTTGTTACAGCTTTCAATGGCAGCTGAGAAGGCCTGCAGTTTCAGATGACACATGGCCAGGTTGAGGTGGGAGGCCAGTCGAAGGGCCTGTGCCTTCTGTACTTCCTCATTGGAAAAACTTGACTCGTATTCCAGCCAGGATACAATCTTCTTGTACTGTATTAAGGCTTGCTTGTACTTGCCTTCCTAGAATGGGAGGGAGGCTTAAAGCACCCAGCACAGGCCCAATAGACATCAGTGACCCATGGGTACAAAATTCCTGCTTTCTCCCGCTCTCCCTCTCAAGACCAACAGACTCAGATATACTAGGTGACAACTGCAGGTGCTAACCTGTCCACTTCAGTCATCAGGGGAAGGGTGGGTCCAGAGCAGCTCTCCCTAGGGTTATCTCATGAAGTATGACTGTCATCTCACCTTGAAGTACACAGTGCCCCGCTCCTTCACTATGGCGCTCTGTTCCAGTTTCTCCTCAGAATTCATCTCCCAAGACTCCTTGGCCTGCCCAAGGGAGAGGAATGGTCAGCTTCCCCAAAGTCACTGTTAGGGTGGATCTGATTCCCCAAGGTTGTGAGCAAACTCACCTTCTCAAAACTCTTGAGGTGTATTTCATATCTCAGCTCTGCATATGGTGGAATCTGGAACTTTTCCTTCCCAGCACTGCCAAAAGCATAGCTGTAGGGATGCAAAAGTCTATGGGTCATCTGGTAGGCTTCACCTGCTCTAGGCTTCAAGGGCTTTTTGGTCATTTCTTGAAAAGTACCTGCTCATCTCTTGAGACTTGGTTCAAATGTTTCACGTTTGACAAAATCTTTCCTAACCTCATTATACATACTATTAGGTGGTCCTCCAGTTGTTTCTAGTCTTCTCAAAACTTGTGCAAGTATGATTACTAATTTAAATGGTACATCGACAGGAGGGTCACTAAAAGGCAAGAACGACAGTCTACTAGTCTTTGCACCCCTAGGAATTTCTAGCAGTCTCTGGGACAGAGAAGCTATGTTCTAAATAAATGGTATTAATAATTAAATCAATTAATGGGAGATGAAAATCTTGATGCTGGCAGAGAAAGGACAACAGACAACTGTGGCCACACTTCCAAATTTAATGAAAAGGTTATAATGGCCTACATGTTTAATGTTCCTAGAGTTGCAGTGAACACAGAAAGGGAAGAAGACACAAACTGTCAATTTAACCATGGTCCTTCAGGTCTCTGAATTTTGTTTGCCCACCTGCTCTACAAAGTATCCATGCCTCACCTGGACTTGAGGTACACAATGGAATGTTCTCCTTTCTCCATGCGCTGAATGGCCTTCTCCAGCCCACAGGGCAGATCAAGACTTTCCCCCTCACCAATCTCAAAGCGGAGCTCCCGCTGGTCAAAGAGCTGGTCCTGGTGGTACCCTTCCAGTGTGACTGGCATGAAAAAGAGGCAATTACCAGGGTGTGATAGGACTAAGCACCGAGGAAGGATACCACCAGCTTTCCTACATATCCCCATCACTTCTTGCCCCCAAGATACCTGTCATATTCTTGAACCTAGAGAGAAGTTAAAAAAGTATGGCCCAACCCCTCATTTTATGGATAAGACAACAGGCTCAGAAAAGGAAGTCACTTGCTTAAAACAACCCAGACCAACATATCAAGACTATATTGACCCATTCACCCCAATTTAGGATGCAGTGCATGGAGTATACACCTCCAGACATTATTTTTAAAGCACTGGTCCTAGTCATCATATCATCTTCAGACTGCAACAGGTAATGGACCTCCATGTGTGCTCCATGGGCACAGTGGGCAATTCTCTGTTAAAAACCCACTTTCTGTCTCTATAGATTTACCTAGTCTGGGCTTTTTATATAAACAGACTATACTGACTCACCCTCCACAATGGCGCCCTCATTGGGCCGGGCATAGCCTTCACCCCGAGTCCGTATTCTACGGATGATTCCACCATCTTCATCTTCGGTCAGATCTTCTCCCTTGAATTCAAACAGCTCAACCTATGGAAATAAGACATAAGGTAATTATGTATGTATATTCTGCCAAAATATTTTCTGTCATTAAAAAATTAAAAAATAAAAAAAGATTTAAGCTGACCAAAGCCTTCTTGCACTAACTCATTGCCACAGGGAAATATAATTTCCTTCTCGTCCAAAAGGTGAGAAAGAAGTATAATTGCCATACGAGATCTCACCACAGGGGCAATCAAGTAGTAACCAAGAGTGGATACAGCGGTACTTCTGCCAAGTTTTTGAGAGCTGCCCTGATCTCTTTGGCAGAGGCAGGCATTCCACACAGATTTCAGGAAAGCAATTCATTTCCTATCCTGCTTCACCTAACAAGGACACAAGAAGCCTAACCTGGCAGGTGTCAGACGTGACCTTCCATTTCTCAGTAGTCTTCAGAGTGTTCCCCAATGTTAGTTGGCTTGACATTTTCAGAGTCAACAGCGTCAGTTCTGTCTCCTCTGGGAAGCCCTTCCTCAACCCAACTTAATAGGCTTTCAGTCGAAAGCCCTATAGTACCAATATCCTGAATTGTGTTTCATAACTGAGAATACCTTCTGCTCTTCTGAGCCCTTTCAGTAAGAAAGTCTCAACCAAAAACCCTGCTTCCAGTCCGGAAGAGCTCTATGCACCCCTCTTCCAACTCAAAGCCTCCGTTACTGACCACTTTCTGGCAGCAACAGAGCCAGCTGACCTCTCTATTTCTCCTCCTAAGGCCAGGCCCTCAGCCTTGGCTACATTGTCTCCAAGAGGCAGGAAGGGCTGGAGGGCAGCCAGGCACTGGGCTGATATAAGGCCTGGCCCTTTGCCTGGATTTCTGTGGCCGGACACTCACCTCAAACACAAGCGTGGCATTGGGGGGGATCTTTGGAGGGCTGCCCGCTGAACCATAAGCATATTCTGGTTTGCAGGTGATGTGGCACACTTCCCCCACCTTCATGGTCGCTACAGCAACATCCCAAGCCTTGATGACCTCCCCTGCAGGTAGAGGCAAACAGCACCTCTGAGGAGGAGTAGGACTCTAGGGTCAAACAGTACCCCCAAAAGAGAATTAATCACTGCACCCAAGAGAAGATGGACACCCTTTAGACAAAACCAGGTGATAAGAAGTTTGCATCAAGTGCTGTCAGGTCTCAGAACTCTCTAGAATTAAAAAAACAAAGAAAGAAACAAACAAGAAAACCCCAAAACAACAGGATGGGTAACAGATTGTGATTAACAACCCCTCAAGAATGGTTTGGAGAATAGTTTCTGCTTGTAACAGCTTCTATCCATCTTAAAGTCTACCCTATCAGCTCAATAACCATGCCTACCTTTTCCCAGATCAAAGGAGAACTTGTCCTTGCGGTCCAGACTGGAGTCAAACTTTGTGCCATCTAATAGCCAGCCAGTGTAGTGGACTGTGACTCGGTCCCCAATCATGGGCATCTCTGTGCCTGTACCCTCTCGCTTGATGACCTAGGAGGAAGGAGAAAGTGAGTACCTCAGGGATGGGAGCAGATAGGGGCCCCAAATTACCTGCAAGTTTCCAAGAGAAACATAATAGGACTCTTTTGTGTTTGCCCTTCCCAGCCTCCTTGTAAGCAGATTCAAGGTAATTCTCCTATGATTCTTTAAAAAAAAAACAAACAAACAAACTTATTTTTTAGTTGTAGTTGGACACAACACCTTTATTTTAATTATTTTTATGTGGTGCTGAGGATCAAACCAGGGCCTCCCAAGTGCTAGCTGCCGCTGAGCCACAACCCCAGCCCTCTCCTATGATTCTAATACTAGCAGTTTGGCTAGGAGTCAGTTAACCCCCCATCTTTCAAAAGACCAGAGTTCAAGTTTTTGTTTATGATTGCAGTTAAAGTCACTAAACTCTCTAGACCCTGACTGTAAAGCAGTGATGACAATCTCCCAGAATTGCTGGAAGATAAAATCAATAAACAGTTGAATAAAGTTCGTTATCAGCAGCAAAGGGGGTAGTCTTTATGCTGCATTTCCTCATTCCTCTTGAATGCCAGTGGTCATTAGAATAGAGCCTGGTTTGGATAGAGGAGGAGAGGTATATGAATAACGGAGAGAACAGAACAGTTCAAAATGGGGAAAAGAAAAAGTTTACAAATAAGCACTGAAGCTGTCCATGAGCCTTAAACTCTGACTTGGGACACGGGTTTTCCTGACTCAGACTTTAACTGAGTCCTTTATTTCAGGATCAGAGACATACAGGGTACTGCACTCTCTTTAGAATTTAAAAGGGTGACCCCCACAGGCCACGTGGTGTGTGTATATACTTTCTGTGAGAATTCTTCCATGACAGAATGTATAGGAGCCTCAGGGAAGAATAAAAGGGGAAATGACCCTTTCTGGAATCAACCTTGTAGAAAACAGCAGGATGCTGGAGAGAGAGACGAGGAAGCCACATGTTCACAGGAGAGCAGCTGGAGCAAGTGCTGCAAGTATCAAAAGCCTTTTGGTCCAGGTGAAAGCTCCATGAGGTCTCTGGCTTCGCATATGCCACACACACACACACACACACACACACACACACACACACACGGAATTGAGAAATGAGAAGCCGGGAGGAGAAAACAATGGCTGGGAGAGCGCACACAACGCGGGCTAGGATTTCGACATCCCGGAGTGCCAGCAGAACCTGCTCTGAACCACCGCGGGTTGTCCTGACCCGGGTCAAGATGTCCTCCTCCTTGCTCCTCGGGCTATTTGTGGTGGGGCGGTTACTGAGGAGTCGGCTCCAGGCAAAGCTCTTTCTTCCCGCCCCGCACCCCCAAGCCCTAACTCTGGAAGGCGCAGGGGGGGGGGGGGGGGGGGGGGGGGGAGAGGAGACTACAGATCCCGGCATGCAACGCTCCTGGTTTCCCGGGACTGAAGGAGGGGGCCCAGCATGGCCGGGCGGGTGACCTCGTTAGGTCCCGGCATTTGGAAAGGAGGCCCCCGAGAGCGCCAGAACCTTTCTCGAGGCCAGGCCCGGCAACCGAGTGGCACAAAAGGCTTTGGACCATGAAACCGCTCCCGAGAGCTGCTTCACGTCCTAGTTAATGTTTAACTCGAAGGGTGGGCGCGCTCTCGCACCACCGCCCAGGCTGCCAGGGACTTTCCGGCTACGGCTCGCGGGTCGCCAAGGGGCGAGGGCACGGTAGTGTCGGGGCAGGCCAGGCCCCGGCCCCGGGCCCGTGCGCACGCTGCTTGGGCCCCCTGGCTGCGACTCGCGTGCGCTGCGGCCGCCCCGCCCCTCTCCGCCGCACCGTGCACGCTGGAGTTGGCGCTGCAGTCCCGGCCCCCTCCCGGGCCCAAGAGCTGCGGGCTGGGGGGCCCGACCCGGGCAACCGGCTTCCAGGGGGCCGCGAAAGGACCCCTCGGCACTAGGTCGACCCCTCCCGAGCGCGCTGTCGCTCACGCCACCCGCAACAACGCAGCCCAGTCCGGGAAGACTATGCCACTGGCTGCCGGACCCAAAGGGCCAAGGCCGAAGGGTTGCGGCCGCGGGTTCCGGGCCTGGCCGATCCCCGACAGGCCCTGGCCTCTCACCTTAAGCACGCCTTCGTCATGCTTGGGGCTGATGTCCACTCCCTCGAGGGGCAGAGGCGCAGACTGCGCCCCGCTCTCGGCTGCCTTCATCTCCTCGGCGGTCATCGCCGCTCGGCGCGCCGTTGGCTGTGGGAGCTAGGTAGGCGCAAGCCGGGCGCTCTGTGTCGCCGGGCCTGGGTGCCAGGAGTCGGCGGAGGGACTGCGCGGCGGCCGCCCACTGCGTACGGCTAGCTAGGAGGCTCGCGCACCTCTGGCTGCCGGCGCGCTCGCAGCCCGCGGCAGAGACGGGCGGGTGCGGAGGGGGCGGGCATAGGGCGGCCGGGGGGAGCGATTGGTCCCACCCGCCCAGGGGGAGGGGCTGGGAGGAGCCGCTGCGCTAGGGGGCGACTGAGGGGTTGGAGCAGAGAACTTTCTAGAGACGCCGGCTGCGGAGCCGGTTGGGGCTCTTGTTGGTAAGGGAGCTTAGGATTTTTTTTACCCTCTGGTACATTCCTCCTGTTGGCTGCCTACTGCCCACTCCCGGGACCCTCTTGGGATTCCGGGGACCACTCCTTCCTCCCAGAGCTCTGCTCAGGTCCTCCCTGCCCCGTTCCTGATTTAGCTGGATTCTTCCAGATCTTTTCGTCCTTAGACATCACTCTCAAGTCCCGGCCTGCAAGTCGCCCCCGACCCGTCCCGTGCACTGCGGCCCGCCATGCGGTGCTGTTTGATAGAGCCGCGCGGCCGGATGTGAGTGGCGCTTGTCCACCTCCTGGTCCGGGACAGCAGATACGGTGGCGTGGTCTCGTTGTCTTTACCCAGGCGTAGACACTTCAGGAGTGTCAGAAAAAGGGATCAAGGTAGTTGGTGGGTGGCGGGGTGGGCCTGGACAGCGGTTACCCGGATGCATAGAATAGGGAAACAGTCCTGTTCTCCCCAGAGCCTGAAAGACCCAGGCATCGCCAGAAGATGTGCAGTTTTCACCTCTTCAGAATGTTAAGAGCAGTGGATTTGCAAGAAATGACCAGTTGAGCTAAGGACTCTTATATGGGGCACTTATTAAAGGAACCTTCCCGACCTCGTTAAAACGGCCGGTTTTGTTAATACTAAAAACAAAATGGTTTCAACTCAAGAAAGAAGCTATTCCATTTTAGTAAAAGGTGCATAGGAAGGAATATTTTCTTCTCATTATCTGGTTCCCAGGTATTTATGGAGTGACTGTGGAGTTCAGAGTGTGTGTGTTGGGTCAAAACTATTTGCAGTGCCTAGTTACTTATACAATTTTGGTTTGACCAAAAGATCTATCTAGAGAGGGTTCTGATTTTGCTCTGCTCCTAACCCTAGTTTAGCATAGAGTCTGATGAGTGTGGGGGTTCCAGACCTGGCCTATCCAGGGCCAGAGTGGTAGCAAAGGGTTATTGACTCCATGAATTTTTATTCCAATATTTGGTCACTCGATACTTTCTTGTCACCGCAGTGGTCGCAAACAATCATACGTAGGTAGCTAAGTGAAAGTTATTATAGATGAAATTTTAGTATCATAATTTGGTAACTTAATAAAACTGTTCTTTCTAGCAATTTAGTCTTACCCAATTGAGTCATAACTAAGAAATGTCTCAGATGACTAGAAATACCCTCAGAAGATATGGGGCGTTGCCTCTGTAGGGGTTAAATCTATTTTTTTGTGGGGCTGGGGTTGTGGTTCAGCCGTAGAGTGCTCGCCTAGCACGTGTGAGATGCTGGGTTCAATTCTCAGCACCACATAAAAATAAATAAAAAATAAAGATATTGTGTCCACCTACAAAAAATATTTTTTAAAAAAAATCTTTTTTTTTTTTTTTTTTGCAAAAACAGCAGTACCAAGGCCCACCAAGCCTCCAGGAGACAGGATAGTGGATACTGTCTTGCCCAGGGCTGTTAATGTTGACTGCTGTTAATGTGTACCTGCTGATTTTGTGTGTGTAGGAGTTAGCTAGGGCCCTTGGGTATTATCCCACAGAACAAATTGGGATAGAAGAATTAATCTTTAGAGCAATACTTTTCTGGTCTTTTTCTTCATTGGGAGCAGACAGCATGTCTAGCTCCTTTTAGTCCATCCAGCACATACTAATTTAGCACTTAGGATGTGCTTAGTCATTGCATAAACATGCTTAATAACATAAAGGATGCGGGGCATGTTGGTGCACACCTGTAATACAGGCTACTCAGGGAGGCTGAGGCAGGAGGATTATAAATTCAAAGCCAGCCTCAGCGATTTAGGCCCTAAACAAGTTAGCTAACCTTCTCTTAAAAATAAAAAGGGCTGGAGATGTGGCTATGAGTTGTTAAGTGTCTAGGTTTAATCTCTGGCACAAAATAAATAAATAAATAACATGGTGGAAAGGGCATGTGGTTTAAAGTAAAGAAAGAGCTGGATCACAAGTGTCAGCTGTTTAAATTGGGGCAGATTACTTCAAGCCTTAATTTCTTTTTTTTTTTTTTTTAATATTTATTCTTAAGTTTTAGGTGGACACAATATCTTTATTTTACATTTATGTGGTGCTGAGGATTGAACCCAGTGCCTGGTGTATGCTAGGCAAGCACTCTACCACTGGGCCACAACCCCTAGCCTCTTAATTTCTTATCTAAAAGGGAGATCAGAACCTTAAATAGGGTTATTTGATGATTGAAAGGGAAAGTATATTTTGTATCTAGCACAGTGGTTGCCTCCAGGGTGGGGGATAGTAAAAAATGAGCAATATTGTAATGTGATGTGCTTAGACGATGAGGACAAAGGACTGAGGAGGAAAGAGGTCAGTAGGAGAGGGAAGGTGGGGTGCAAGGACATGAGGGCAAGGTTTCCATTGAGCAGGCTCCGCCTCCATGCAGTGTAGGTGTAATGAGGGAGCTATAGGCACTGGGGTCTTCAATGCTAGAGTGAGACTTTATTAATTGTAGAATTTTTCCTCGTTATGTTACACTTTTTTCATCGTAAAACTTTCATATTCCATTGTGGAAACTGTACAGGTATTTTATTTCCAGTTCTCTTCCTCCTCACCCCTTCTCCAGCTCATTTATTTATTTATTTTTTAATATTTATTTTTTAGTTGTAGTTGGACACAACACCTTTATTTTATTTATTTATTTTTAATGTGATGCTGAGGATTGAACCCAGGGCTTTGTTCTTTTAGGCGAGTGCTATATCGCTGAGCCACAACCCCAGCCCCTGTTCAGCTCATTTAAATTAATATTTTCATTAAAAATGTTTACTGATATTACTCAAAATATTTCCAAAATTTTCCCTGTTTTACAAGAGGCAGGGAGCACACTTTTTCCTTCCCTTTTCAGTATTGGGGATCAAACCTAGGACCTTGTGTATGCTAAGCAAGTGCTCTACGCTGAGCCCCCAACTCAAAGGGTACACTTTTTGTCATCCTCTGTACTCTCAGGGTGACTGCGGCTAGGGTTAGCAGCTTTGTTATTGCAAAATGAACCTCTCTGCGCTCACTTGGATATTTCCATAATTCTAAGTCTGTCCTTCTCACATGAAGATCTCTTGTTTTTTTACTGTTGATATTTTGGCCTTAGACTGCCAATGCACTTATATATTTAAAAAAAATTATATAGTATTTGAATCATTCAAAATAATTGAAGATGAATGTGTGTGAATATACTCACACATGTCATATAACATACTACAAAATGAAACTTGGGAATCTACCACCCAACCTAAAAGAACATTTTTTTTGTGGTGCATTATTAATAATTTGTATAAAAAATGTACTGTCAAAAATTTTTAAATACATAATTTCTTGGTACTTTTTGTGTCTGTTGATTAAGAAAACAATCTATGCTGACCACAACATTTATCTATCCATATGATTATACTATTTCATACAGTTTAAAAATAGTAGTTGTCCAGGGCTGGGATATAGCTCAGGGGTAGACTGGGTCCTTGGCATCTGTGTTGGTGATAGATTGCTTTAGTCAAATACTGACTTTATTTTTATTTATTTTTTGGTATTGAGGATTGAACCCAGGGGTGCTTAACCACTAAGCCACATCTCTAGTCCTTTTTAATATTTAGAGACAGGGTCTCGCTGAGTTGCTTAGGGCATCGCTAAGTTGTAGCTGGCCCTGAATTCCATCCCCAGCATATTCCATTTCTCCCAAAATCAAATAAAATAGATGTCTGTGTGAGGTTTGAACATAGTGGAGAACTGTGTGAAGTTTAAGAGTGTAGGCTCTGGATTGGCTCACCTGGTTCAGCTTCTTGCCAAGGTTCTTGATTGGAGTATGGAGTTGAAGATATGGAGGTTTCCAGCCCTGAGGTTGAGAGTCACTGGTCAGTTTTTGTTTTGCCAACTCTAGAGGAGTGCTTGCTGCTGTTTTTTTTTTTTTTTTTTTTTTGTACTGGGCACTCAACCACTGAACCACATCCCCAGCCCTATTTTGTATTTTATTTAGAGACAGGGTCTCACTGAGTTGCTTAGCGCTTCACTTTGGCTGGGTCTTTGCACTCTTTGTTTTTTTTTTTTTAATTGTAGTTGGACACAATATCTTTATTTTTCTGTGGTGCTGAGGGTTGAACCTAGTGCCTCACAAGTTCGAGGCGGGTGTTCTACCAATGAGCTATAGCCCCAGCCCTGGGGCTTTACAGTCTTAATCCTCCTCCCTCAGCCTCCTCCACCTCTGGGATTACAGTCCACTGTGCCCGGCATAGAGGTGTGCTTCTTTTTCTATGTTAAATCACATGGGTGCTTTCCATTCTTGATTATTAACTTGATATATAAGGTAATTTAAGGTAACTTTGTGAGCTGATAATTTGTCTTTCCAGTAAGACTGGGAGTTCTTTGAAGGTGAAGACTTGGTTTTAACAATTCCTTGGCTCCACCATTGTCTTGATTATTTTGAGGGAAGGGCAACAGGATATTTGGTGGTTGATAGGTTGGGAGTTATTGCCCCCTCTTCTTCTTCTTCTTTTTTTTTTTTAGTAAAATTTAATTTCCTGCTTCATATAAATCTATATCTTTGTTTTGCTCTTAGAAAAAGTAGAACGTAGCCAGTCTTCGTCTTACTGTATCTATGGATGCCCTGAAATTTGGCCTTGGCCTTGTTCTTTAGAGGGTTAAGTTACCAAATGCCTATTTCAGTATTCTAGTTTTTACATACTTTGAATGATCAAGTATCAGATGTTTGTCTACATTATTGTCATTATAATTAGCATAACTAAAATAAGGATTGTCATTTGGGAAAAATGAAATTTTACCCTCCTTCATCCTTGGTTGAAATTAATGTAATA